CCCCCACCCCCGCCGCTTGCCATGCCACCTGCTCGCAGCATGATCCCAGTGAGAAGAGAAACCACTGAGAAAAACATTTCCTCCATCACCTAGAGACACACCCCCAAACAAGAGAAAAGCACAACAGGTGACACATAAAACCTCACAGCACGTCAGAGCCACAGCCCAACCTAAACACAGTAAAATTTAAGTGTATTCGGAGGATTTGGTTTCATCACCTCAAACACTTTCCTAGTTTTGCAGGAAGTTTACTGCTATTTGTTGTAAAGGTGTTCCCCTGACTTGAATGCAGAAATAAGAGATCTCTAGAATCCTCAGGAAAAGACTGAAAGATTACTGTTCCACCATGGCTGGTGAGTGAAGCTCAGTAAATGCTCTGCTATTTCTTCCGGTTAAAAACATGCTACGGGGGCTTCCCTGGTGGTGCAGTGGTTGGGAGTCCGCCTGCCGATGCAGGGGACACGGGTTCGCGACCCGGTCCGGGAGGATCCCACATGCCGCGGAGCGGCTGGGCCCGTGAGTCATGGCTGCTGAGCCTGTGAGCCACGGCCGCTGAGCCTGCGCGTCCGGAGCCTGTGCTCCGCAACGGGAGAGGCCACAACAGTGAGAGGCCCGCGTACTGCAAAAAAGAAAAAAAAAAAAAATGCTACGTGTGGGTTTACAAATTTTCAGTTTTCAAAGAACATATTATAATCAACATGGTAAATGGTATAAATCAGGTCTTTCTTATTAAAAACAATAGAATTTAGCAATATCTCAAAATCCTCATCAGGAACACTATCATTAAAATAAGTACAGAAATACTAGTCAGTAAGAGACTTTCCACTGAAGAATTCATTTGTTGTAATTTGTTTTTTTTAAAAATCAATGGGGGCTTCCCTGGTGACGCAGTGGTTGAGAATCTGCCTGCTAATGCAGGGGACACGGGTTCAAGCCCTGGTCTGGGAAGATCCCACATGCCGCAGAGCAACTAGGCCCGTGAGCCACGGCCGCTAAGCCTGCGAGTCTGGAGCCTGTGCTCTGCAACAAGAGAGGCCGCGACAGTGAGAGGCCCGCGCACCGCAATGAAGACTGGCCCCCGCTCGCCGCAAGCAGAGAAAGCCCTCGCACAGAAACGAAGACCCAACACAGCCAAAACTAAATAAATAAATGTAAAAAATTTTTTTTAAATAAAATTTGAAAATCAATGTATCAGTGTCTCTCTGAAGCACACTCTATGAGTCAGACTTATACGTCAACTTCTGATGCACCTGGGATGAAGGTAAAGAAAGAACTTGGACTTTACTTCCAAAAACCTTGGAACTGAACGTAGTGAAAATACAAAACACAGTTCAGTACCGTCAGTGAATCCAGGTTGAAACTGCGGGTATCACAGGTTTCAGTCCCACCCTATTCTATTCAGTAAGTTAAGGCAGGTGTGAGAATCTGCACAGCAGGCAAGTGCTCACAGAGGGTGCCTGCAGGACAAACACGACAGATAACAGACACTTAGAAGGCGCAGACATACGTGTGTGACGACACGGTCAGAGGAGCTATTTTCAACTTCACCAAAGGAAAATGAAACACACAGAATGTTTCTGGCATCAGGAATGATGTTTTCGGCAGGATCACAGTGTGACAGCTGGATGACACCGTGAAACTTGTAATCTTGAAGCCACCGGGAGAACGACTGTTTTCTCCAGCTAAATAAAGGTAAGGTAGCAATGAAGGAACCGGAAGGTAGCAGGAACCAGTTTCCCTTTCAGGTAACCACACAATGAAAATATCTTTTTCATCTCTGTTTCATAAAGAACTGGCCATCGTCCGTTTGGTCCTATCTTGACTTCTGACTCTACAGGCAAGAAAACAGCTCCAGCCAAGTTGCCTGGTAAGGAGGGGGCTCTTTTCCTTAATGGTGGAGATCAGATACACGGTTCACTGGAAACTGCTCTTTTTTTTCCCCAAATTTATTTATTTTACTTATTTTTGGCTGTGTTGAGTCTTCGTTGCTCCACGCGGGCTTTCTCTAGTTGCAGAGAGCGGGGGCTACTCAGAAGCGGTGGCCTCTCTTGTTGTGGAGCACAGGCTCTAGGCACGCATAGTTGTGGCACGTGGGCTCAGTACTTGTGGCTCGCGGGCTCTAGAGTGCAGGTTCAGTAGTTGTGGCGCATGGGCTTAGATGCTCCACGGCATGTGGGATCTTCCCGGACCAGGGCTTGAACCTTTGTCCTTTGTCCCCAGGGCTTGCACCTTTGTGGCAGGCGGATTCTTAGCCACTGCGCCACCAGGGAAGTCCTGGAAACTGCTCTTAACACAGATCACAGTACAATTTCATCCTCACCCTAGAGAGGTAGGAAAGGGAACCTTAGGGGAAAGGATGACCACAGTCACGCTGACATGGCACCAGGTGACAGGACCCCATCACAGAGGCTGGAGCCAAATCCCAGGAGAGCAGGGAGGCCTCTGACAGCCTCTCACTCAGGTTCTTCAGTTCCATCACTACGTAAAATCAAACAGCCACACGTGAAACACAAGAGAGCATAACCAACACAGCTGCGGGGGAGAGGGGCACAAGATCCACGTTACAGGAAGACAGGAACCAGAGAAATGACCCCACGTGAAGGCAACCAGATCAGTCCACGAGCTTGGAAATTCTGTAGGACCAACGACCTGGTCTCTTTAGCGAGTGGCAATGTGAACAAGGTCGGCTGGGGCATGACGTGTGGGGACCAGCTCTGGAGCAAGAGACTCAGACAGAAAGCCCAGCAAGCCAACTGGGAAGAAACAGACTGGAGACCATCAAGGAAACAGGGGTGTAGTCGGGGTACGAGATGACGCCCATGAACTGCTGCAAACTTTACTGGGTTCTGGTGGTTCTGGAGTCATATAAGAAAACAGCCACGTACTGAGAGACGGAAAGAATACACAAGAGTGACATGACACGAGGGCTAGGATTCAGCTTAAAATACTTTAGTAACAAGAAGGAAGGGAGAAATAAAAGAGACCAGTGAAGCAAACATGGCAAAACCTTGATAATTACTTCATCTGGGAGATGAGTATATGGGGGTTACTTATATTATTCTCCCTATTTCTGTTTATTTTGAAAGTTTTCATTATACAGGTTTTCTTAAAAATTGAAAGCAACGAGCTCAGTATACATATACTAACAAATAAACTACACAATTTCACGTATCAAGCAGTTGTATTATCTTGAAACACCACACCATCCTTCTATGGAAGTCCAATGTTTTATGAATAGTTTAAAACACGAAACATTCCTATATCGTTACGTGAACGCTCCCAACATTTCAGAATATACGTTGGCAAGGAATAAACTATACTGAATCCCACATCCCAATGACATCATTCTATAAAACAGCACCAAAGTAAGTGAAATGTGATTCACTGAAACTCATCCTTGGCAGAAAATAAAGTCCTCGAGCATTAAAAACAAAAATCAGGGCTTCCCTGGTGGCGCAGTGGTTGAGAGTCCGCCTGCCGATGCAGGGGACACGGGTTCGTGCCCTGGTCCGGGAAGATCCCACATGCCGCGGAGCGGCTGGGCCCACAGACTCCGCAACGGGAGAGGCCACAACAGTGAGAGGCCCGCGTACCGCAAAAAACAAAAACAAAAACAAAAAATCAAACACTGGAAGGATGCAGTGAACACTGTAAGAATGATTGTTCCTGAGGGCAGGGGTGGGAGGAGGCTGTGCGCAGCATTCGAAACACCTCAATGGACACTTAATGTTGTTTTCAGTTTTGTCCCAACCACGTGAATGTATTAACTCTTCAAAAATAAAAATTTTAAATAAAATCACTGCACATACGCTTTTCGTAAAGAATTACTTTCACTCTTCCATGAAGAATTTAAAACTTGAAAAAGAAAAAAAATTAAGGTATTTTTGCTCTTGAAGATTCCCCATCAGCTGCTTCTGCCACTGTTTCCCAGGACTCACCTCTCACAGTTTGAAAACACAATTTCCTATCTTCCTAACAGGTTCTTTCTTCTCTTATGGGAACATTAAGAAATGTGAAATAAATCTTAAGTGTTTAACATGCAGGCCAAAAAAAGTCCCTGGGTAACTTGAAAGAAAGCTCAAATCAAGGAAAGCCCCCTCTGCTTTTCATTTCATGTCACAGCACACACTTTAGTCTTCACTTGCAAGTAGAGGCATTTATTTAACGAGGATTTAGAGATCTTCACTTTGCTCTACCCTCTTCTAACCTCAAACCCAAACTACCACATTCTCCCTTTCTTTCCTCCTCCACTACCTGCGCCTCTCAGCCTACTCTAGTCAATCAAGATGACTGACACTGCAAACCAAAACTCAATCCTCTGCCTTTTAAGCTACTCAAAATAGAGGTTTTAAACCCCCCCAATTCTTACAATCCCACCTAAAGCATTTCTGCATCCCTTTTCCTGGTTCTTTTACTGAGTTAACAGCCAAATAAGTGAACTGAAGTCCCCTGTGTCTGTCAGGTGGGTTACACTGTGTTCCCGGAAGAGTGGTGATTTCTACTCTAAGAACCAGCCAGCCTGGGGGAAACCTCATGCTGCCTTCAACAAACCTGACAGATGAAAAATACCATCCACAAAAATATGTTCACCAAAATAGTGATCACTGGGTTGCTTTTACTATGGATCTCCAACCACTGGTGTAGACACAGGCTCCAACAACGGCTGTCAACCAGCACGCATTTCCTGGGCCCAGAGCCTTCCCCACTGCACTTCAAACAGAGGAGACAAGACAAACGTTGTTCTGCGCTTCCAGGTGCGGCTGACAGTGAGGCCCAGAGGACACTGTGAGTGCCTGGCTATGCGGCACTTGGTCTATAAGCACAGGCCGGGGGGCTTCGGGGACTCCAGGCACAATGTCACAGGTAGGGCAGGGCAGGAAGCCGCAGTCTCTGACACAGAAAGGGACCAGGCAGGGGACAGGGTTCAGTTTGGCCGAGGTAACCTGAGGAAGACGAGGGTGGTGAGGGAGAACCAGAGGGCATGTGTGTATCTTTCGTTAGAGCCACGTGGGCCTTGAGCGACGCTCCAGCTTCATTTTAAAGGCAGTAGTGGGCCTGTGACCTTGAAGACGGAAGGGACCCCTGTGTGCTGTCCTGCCGGCCACAGGCAGGCTCCCCTGCCCTGGACACGGCCACCAGGATGCACAGGCAAGGTGGACCCCTGTCCAGTGCTGTCTCTCTCACCAAAAGCTCTCTGATGAGTATTCTGCTACTCATTTAATATAGTCATTACATTTCAGATGAGTGTTTTCTCAGAGAAGCTTTAAGGCAGAACTGAACCTCCTTCAAAAGATTTGAGAGAACAATTACAAAGCATCTCTTAGAGGGGACCATTCTCTAGAAGAAGGTTTACAAATGGTCAATTCCACATAATGATGTTATTTTAGTACTAAAAATACAAGCTGGCTGAGGATAAGTCACTTTCCCAGACTGTGTGTAGCACGTGTCACAGGGGAGCCAGGCCTGTCCGGGGCCTCAGCCCTCAGGAGCTCCTGGCCACAGGGCCACACTGTCCCCGATCCTCCCATCTGGACAAGACCCCATCTCTGTGGTGGGTGCAGAGGAGTCAGAACTCCCAACCTTCGGGGGGCTCCGGGATCTCTAAGTACTGAGTCCGGAGTCAGGTAGCAACCTAAAGGCTTCCCAGTGGTGCATTTCTGGTGTAAATGGAGGGACTCACTCCCCTTTATTCAATAGCTTCTGTTTAAGATCACTGTCAAACTTCTCAGGGATCACACACCGTGGTTAATGCACATGTATACTTCATAACTGATTCTATCTTTCCAAGTATTCAAATATCCACATGTAATTTCCACAGAACCACCACTTGGGTATGCTATACTTACAGGGCACAGTGAAATGACAAAAATATCGCTTTTAAATTTAAGGCTGAGGTATTAAAAAGTAAGGGATGGGAGGGACTTCCCTGGTGGTCCAGTGGTTAGGACTCGGAGCTTCCACTGCAGGGGACGTGGGTTTGATCCCTGGTCGGAGAACTAAGGTCCTGCATGACACGCAGCACGGTCAAAAATAATAATAATAGGGCTTCCCTGGTGGCGCAGTGGTTGAGAGTCCGCCTGCCGATGCAGGGGACGCGGGTTTGTGCCCCGGTCCGGGAAGATCCCACATGCCGCGGAGCGGCTGGGCCCGTGAGCCATGGCCGCTGGGCCTGAGCGTCCGGAGCCTGTGCTCCGCAACAGGAGGGGCCGCGATAGTGGGAGGCCCGCGTACCACAAAATATAATAATAGTAATAGTAATAATAAGGGGTGCGGGACATGATGCAGAGGAACACCGCATAAAAATCACAGTGGCAAAAATCAGAAAGAAACAAGGACATCTAATTTACATTACTTTCCAATGTCAAAAATACAACGAAAAACTTTACATAAATATGGAACATATTAATAAAAAATTTAACATTCCTGTATGCTATGTCTTTGAAAGGATTTTAAGAGAGAAATGCTATTTTTTAATGCAGCTGTAAGAACAGGATATGAAGTCTTGCAGCCATAAAACACAATTGTGAAGTAATGTCTTATTAGTAGCATATCTTATGTTAAGCTGTAATATATTCTAAGCACTCACTGTTTATCAGGATCAAATTATTATAGATTCTGAACTACAGTTTATTTGCTTTCATAGAGAAGGTGACTGATGCTGAATCTGGGACACATATATAAGAAATACCAGCTGACAAAGCATTATTACCTACAGGTTAGGAGACACCTATGCTCTGTAAGTAACACTGGTTTGGGGAACAGATACATAAGGAGAGGCCACAGAGGGGAAAAGATGGGAACTCAGTGGGTCAGCTCTTGGACACACTGACCGATCTCAGGCCACCTCCTGCTGCCGGGGCAGAAAGAACAGGAAAAACTACGGGTTTCTGCTTCTATGACAAATGCCAAAAGAAACCATTAGAATAAGCGGCGTCTAATTTTAGTGAGGTGCTTACTACCCTTTGCTTGATGCTTGAATATAATGCATGGTAACCAAAAAACTTTGAAGTTTAAAACCAACTGAGTAAGTATATTATCATGATATATGCCAGCACGATTTAGTAAAGAAAGCGGCTCAAAACTTTTATTCTCTTCCAGGACCTAAGTCAATCTTAACTGCATATCTAAAAAATGAACCATAAGAGAAAAATGTTAAGGATTTGTTAAAGGATAAGATTCTGAGATTGTTAAAAAATATATTCCTCTTGCAGATGTAAAGTTGCTTGGGACATAAACATTTTTGTGTTCTCTCCGAACAGGCCTCCATATTTTGTGGGTTTACAAGCAAACATAAAAATGACAGAAATAGGGTATATTTAGGGAAAAAAGCATAGCTCCTAGTTTGCCACAGTTTAATAGACACAGAGGAATACAGAAGCCAGAGGAGTCCCTCTATCAACATAAGTTTCCCAAATCCTTATTTCATTTATATCCTCCCAGATGTGCCAATAACATGCTGACGTGTTCCAATAAAAATGAGAAAACATAAGAAAACCACACTGTGCCATACCAAGTACTACCGTTATTTCTCTACTGGTTCAACAAATATTTGCCGAGCACCCACCCTGGGCCCGAAACGGGACACAACGAGGGTTCTAGCAAACTCCCAGCCCCTCCAGCTAAGAGTCTAGAAGCCTGGACAGCACCCACAGGAAGAGGCGGAGGGGCCGGATTCCAGCCATGCAGGAGATACTCACAAGGTGTAAACAGGAATGACAGAAGCCACAGAGGACGGGCTATGGGGGAGGGACCACTACAGGCCTGGGGGAGGGGCTTCCCAACCCAGATAAGTGACCTGAGGGCAGATGCTGGCCACTCCGACACAGGGCCTGAGCTTGAGGGGACACAGGTTTGTAACGTGGGCACCAAGTGAAGGGACAGTTGCCCAGTTAGCAGGCAAAACGCTCAATACATATTTCTTTCTTCCTTCTCACATACGAGTATTTCTCAAAAAACGTACCTCTCTGCACGAATCACACCACTGTAGTAGGGGGGATCCCAAGGCATTAATTCCTACAAAGGAAAAATTCACTGTTATGAAAGCTGTTGACTATTTCACAATTTTAATCAATAATTTAGCCAACTTATAAAATGTATACCTGTTATGATGCCAGAAAAAGGTTTATAAAAAGCCTAAAAATTCATGACTTGGCAGGAAATACGTGCCTTTTTGACTTCCCTGCTATCAGTGAGTTGAGAGGTATAAATAAGGCATAATTGCAGAATTTGGGGAAAAGCTAAACAAATGTCATTCTAAAATGTAAACTAATGTAAGTCAAAATTGATAGATTAAATTAGCCACGCTGAAATTTTCCCCAAAATGTAACCCATATATTAATCCATAAGACATACTGCAGGTAAGATTAGGGAACTAAAGGTGAGACTAGAGTTCTTTCTAAATCTAAGCAAGAAGCTTAGGGTGGATCCCAGAAATGAAAGCAACAATTTAAAACGTAACTAAGGCAGAATTAACTCTAATCTTGGCAAAGAAAATATGTCATAAAGAAACACTAGAACAACCATTTTTGACCCCTGGTACACAGTCCACAGCACGGGGACTTGCAGGGCTTCCCTGCCCCCCAACCCGGCCTCCTGCTGCTCCTCCACCGCAAGGCAGACCGCTCCCTCCGGCCTCTGCCCAGAGGGCTCTTCCTTGGCTGTCGCCAGCCCCTCACTTCTCCCCCTTCTCCGGGGCTCTGTTGGGTTTCTTTTCCGGGGGGGGGGGGGGTCTTCACTGCCCAGCCCCTGTAAGACAACAGCCTCCATCCACTTTTTCTGCATTATTTCCCCCAGAGTCCCTATCACCACAGGACTAGTACAATGCTGATTTTTTTCATGTGTTTACTATCTCTTTTCTTCCCCTAAGACATAAGCTTCACGAGGGCAGGGATTTTGTTTGCAATTTTCCCGTTGTATCTTGGCCCCTGAATTCTGCCTGGTACACAGCAGTCCCTCAAGAGTTATCTGTTGAATGAATCAACAGCATCTCCCAGACAGTATTGCTAAATGCACTCCAACTGCAAAACAAAACACCTGGCACTGAGAAGAGCTCCGTGAGCGAGGCTTCCATCTTTATTACCAAGGTTCTTTAAAGGTTCAGTTTAGACATTATCTCCTCTGTGGACAAGGTATTCTTTCTCATGTGCCATGCTCATACTATTATCAGGGAAGGGAACCAAGGTAAGACACGGAGGTTTCCTTTCTTTCTGCCCATGAGCTCCTGAAGGGCAGGGACAGCATCCCTGGGACTCTGGCCCGAGTGATCAGTTCCTGGCACTCATGGCCTCCAACAGAGATGACTGTTTACTAACTGCTACGTGCCAGACAGAGCGCAGGCTCTAATGCAACAGAGACAAGACACCATCCCTGTACCAAGAGCTGACAACAGTCCAGGCAGCAGGAAGACAAGCAGCCCGCCAATCAGAGAACAGTGTGTCACGTGTATGACGCTGTACCATGCCAAACAGCCCACGAAGGGTGTTAAACCACAGGGGAGGGCAGGAGACGTCTGGAGGAGACAGAGCCTGAGCTGCGTTGTGAAGAATGGGAGCACGTAATCCAGATGTACGGCATTCGCTGGCACATAAATGTCAGTTACAATTTAAAAATAAAAGAAAGCACAGCATGGTAAATCAACTATACGTCAATAAAAAATAAATAAAAAGAAAGTAAAAGAAAGGAAAGCAAAGCAAAAAGTAAGCGAAAAGAGCACACGAGCATCACGCGGCTGTCAGTAGTGAGCGGAGAACACTGACTGGGCTCCCAGGCAGAAGAGGAGGACGTCCGGGAAAGATGACGAAGGGCTTGGTGGGAAAGCCAAGAAATGGGAAGGTAAACCTAATAATTACCTGAAAATGTTAAACAAAAGAGCGCAAGGCCCAGTCAGTGTTTTGAAAAATCCCTCTGGCCGCCCCGCACTCACTCACTCACTCGTTCCGAGTAAGTGCACAGGACCTCCTCCACGTCCAACGTGGGCCAGGCACCCGGCAAAGCAGTTGGAATGCAGGACAACCTTGAGGGGAGCAGAACAAAAGGCTAGAAAACCAGTCACTGTCGTCTTGGGGAGAAGGAATAATGACCTCAGCCAGGGCTGTGGCAATGGGCACAGACAGGGGACAGAGTTCCCAGGAAGGCAGAAGCTGCAGGCCTCGGTACCTGACACTATGGGCGGGGGCGGGTTTGAACACCCGCAGGGCTCACTGACACACAGCACATGGCGCTCGAGAGCCTGCCTTTCTACCAATCGCCCAGGTGCTGCCTTCCAGGGAGCAGTCTGAGAACCCCTGGTCTAGACTTAGTCCAGGGTCTGGCTAGGGGAGCACGGTGAACGGTGGCACCTTCACCAAAATGGGGGCTTCAGGAGAGAAGAAAGGGCATTTCCCAAACATCCTCAGAACAGCCGGCATCAGTAGCTACATAACATGTCCGGGGCTTCCCTGGTGGTGCAGTGGTTAAGAATCCGCCTGCCAATGCAGGGGACACGGGTTCGAGCCCTGGTCCGGGAAGGTCCCACATGCCGTGGAGCAACTAAGCCCGTGCACCACAGCTGAGCCTGTGCTCTAGAGCCCGCAAGCCACGACGACTAAGCCCGCGCGCCTAGAGCCCGTGCTCCGCAACAAGAGAAACCACCGCAATCAAAAGCCCGCACACCGCGACGAAGAGTAGCCCCGCTTGCCACAACTAGAGAAAACCCGTATGCAGCAACGAAGACCCAATGCAGCCAAAAACAAACAAACAAACAAAAACATGTCCAGGGAGAACAACTTCGAGTCATATTAATGAATTAGCTTTTGGCAACACACTTCACCTTTTCTGTTCCTGTGCTCACCAAGCTAAATTCTGATCCATGATCTAGTTTCCTAAGTGGACCTACCTACAAAGCCAAAGTGGGTGGATGGCTAATCCTAGTTACTCTGCTAGATACAGCTCTGACTACCACTTAACAATCTCACATGCTGCTCCAGAAATCAGTGACTGTGACAGAATTACTCCATTTCATGGTGGTTGGATCTGGGAAGCTGGTAAAGAGTCTCTAACCCTGCTCAGCAGCCACCAGCAACCAAGAACGACCACCAACAGCAGCTACAGGAGAGGAGTCCAGACACCCCAGCAATCCCGTGGCACCCCCGAGCCAGATGAGGACCCAGGCCCTAACACCTGGGATCTCATCCCTTTTCAGGGCACCCTCTGGCCCTAAGGACACTTAGTCTGACTGGAAGAATCATGTAATCATTTGATCTTAAGATTCAGTGTTTTCAGGACGGGTTATACTTTGTCAGTAAACATTGATCTACTTAACTGAGCTCCACAGGTTAGCAAACAAATGTGTCAACTGCAAGGTGAGCACTGATGCTGAAGCTGCCACCAGCCAGGTCATCCGCCCCTGAGTCCCCTAAAGGTGCTTCGCACAGAGACGCCAACTCTCCATAGAACAGAAGCAACCTTTGTGTGAGCAGATATTAACACAGGTTGTGTTAACAGACAGTATGGGTGTGGGTGTGTGTGTGTGTGTGTGTGTGAGAGAGAGAGAGAGAGAGAGAGAGAGAGAGAGAGAGAGAGATAGCAACTAACCAACAAAAACACTGGAGTTCCTGGAATGTCAGACTCGGACACTTGGATCAAATATTTCAATACTTTAATCCCCAAATCCAAGGATCAGAAACAAGACTATATACACCTTCAGCAAATCACAAGGAAGTTCTAGAGTCAGAAGATGAAGACCTCAGCTGACAGACTGTTTATATTATAATAAAAATATCCCAAGATGGTCACTTACAGAATTTTGAGGATTTAGTTTCATTTTCATCCCTCGTATCATCTCAAAATCTTTCATAGTTCTGTAAAATAGGTTTATCATTAATTGTTAGGACAAAATTTTCATAATTACATTATAAAAGAACTAGTCTGCTTATGTTACTTTCCAATATTCATGATAAAATTAGAAATAATTTGTAGTGCAAATGCAACCAGTATTAACCAAATTTTACATGTGCTAGAAGAAACGACAATATATACATCAGTAAATTACTACAATTTCTACCTTAAAAAGCACCTTGGCAGAGATATGTCTCGAAAGTACTAAAAGCCTGGAAAAACTAGCAGTGTTAATAGAAACATGCGAAGTGTTAATCAGTAAACTTTAAACCACTGCCTTTTTTTTTTTTTTGCGGTACGTGGGCCTCTCACTGCTGTGGCCTCTCCCGTTGCGGAGCACAGGCTCCGGACGCACAGGCTCAACGGCCATGGCTCACGGGCCCAGCCGCTCCGCGGCATGTGGGATCTTCCCGGACCGGGGCACGAACCCGCGTCCCCTGCATCGGCAGGCGGAGTCTCAGCCACTGCGCCACCAGGGAAGCCCTAAACCACTGCTTTTTGCTACACCTTAAAAAAGAGGCTAACAAATTACTTCCTATAAAAAGAATATTAACATAGATTATATTTAAGATTGCTATTCATAATTTTTCCCCTACCAAAAAAACTCCAGCTGGGCAATAATCAAATATGTACTTAATATTTGCAGAATATGAAATTTCTGTTAGAATGAACTCCTATACACCACTATAAAAATCTGAAGGTAAGTCTGCTCGAAACATCATCTATAGCTACACACACGTGCAACAGAATGATGACGCGCAGCGAGGCGGAGGGAGTAACGTCTCACGTAACTGCGTGACCAGCACTACGTCACTGCATCAAAGCCGCAGACGCTCGCTGCGCTGAGAGCGAAGTTGACAATTTATAAACACAACCCAAACTGGAGGACTGTGCTCTAAGGCATGAGTTTATAACAGAAAATGGAAATTGGAGCTAAAATTAACACGCTGGTGCAGTCAGGCAGCAAACAAGGGTTTAGGCAGTGCCACAGGAGAGATCACAGTCTCTCACACACGTGCCATGCCTTGTCCTAGAGCCAGGGTGTCTGAAGGCTCCTGGGGGGCTGGCCCCCAGAAAGCACTACCAGAGTGGCCCCGAGGACGAGGGCCAGCCCAGGGGGCTGGGCAGGGAGAAGGCCGGCGGTTGTGGCAGAGGGACCACTGAGAGCGCTCTTAAAGCACACAGCAGGGCAAGCAGATCCATCTACCATCCCCACCAGCCACCCACACTGAGGCCCAAAGAAGAGAAATACTACGTTTCCAGCTGATGATAAAACTGATGGTACAAGCTAAAATACACAGTTTCAACAGGTTTGGGAAATTTTAAGAAGTCCCTATCAACGATGAGTTCTCAAGACGGCTGACTGGTTCATCAGAGGGGACGGCCCAAGTTTCCGAGACCGTCACCTTCGGGGGACGACTCTGCACTTTCAAAGTAGGGCTCAGTGTTCATCTAATCTCTTGAATAGTCCACAGATCTGACGCAATATTCCAACACTTATATTCTTAACAGGTCACTTACTAATTGTTTTTTTATAAATCAAGTCTTAAAAAAAAAACCTAAATAAATAACACGTACTCTAAAGAGCAGAATAAAAAACGAACCTTTCCGAGAGTTTGTCAGACAGCTTCTCAAGGAACTGCATGACAGTCTCTAAAATGAAAATCCAAAAGAAAATATCTTTAACTACATAAAGTAAAATGTACATACCTGTTAAAATTATAATGTGGTGATCATAAGTCCATACACTACAATGCCTTTAAAGTGCTGATTCTCAAAGGGAAGCTGGGTTGCTAATATATACTAGGCATTTCTGGATGATGATGATGGTTATTAAATAAACGAATTAAACTGATATAGTAATAATCAAAGCCTTAAATGATACCCTAAAATAAAAAGTTAAGGGGAAACGAAAGAAAAGAATCCAAAGGTTCAATCTATTTCTATCTATTCATATGTTTAAGGGAAAAAAATGTCTGTCAGATATGTCTAATTTTTTTCTGAGTTTTCAAGAGATAGCTAGACTCCGATTTGTTCATAAAAATCACTACAACTTAGAAACATCAGATTTTAAAAATCAGTGTTTTTCTGGGTAAATTTTTTTTTTCTTTCGGTATGCGGGCCTCTCACCACTGTGGCCTCTCCCGTTGCGGAGCACAGGCTCCGGATGCGCAGGCCCAGCCGCTCCGCGGCACGCGGGACCCTCCCGGACCGGGGCACGAACCCGCGTCCCCTGCATCGGCAGGCGGACTCTCAACCACTGTGCCACCAGGGAAGCCCAATATTTTTATTTTTATATACACAGCAGAATAATCTATTTAGGATCAGTATCCAAAGAAAATATTGCAAAATTAGAACATTAAAAATTTAGGCTCTATTGGAATTTTTTTTTTTTTTTACTACTTAAAATACTTCAGCCATAAGTCACTATTTTGTACAAACCCACAAAGGCAATGTAGTGGATTTACTGTTGTTTCCCATGATAGGAAATTTTTCATGTGACTTTTTAAATTTAGCAGTTTTTGCCACTATTTAACATGTATAGAGCCTTCACATGTATTTGAGAGTGGGCTACACACACAGTTTTTCTATTTTCCAGATGGTCTTTTATATGTTTCAGTTTCTTGTTCAGTTTACCTCTTTTCTGAGTAAAATAAGAGGCTGGGGAAAGGACAGACCTAAACCAGGAAGCCAGGGGTCTCCCCACCATCAGTGCTGAACCAACCCGTATCTTGTAACCTGAAAAACGCTGCCTCGTTTTAGACGGTGTTAAGAAAAACAACTGTTATTTAGTTTAAACTAAAGTCTTTATTTCCGGATATCAAACCAGCTAGCATAGAGAACTGTTTTCAAATATATCTCTGTGTGTGCTTTTTATTTCAAAATAACCCTTGTTTACTAACTTTCACCTATTTTGTTTTCCTAGCTCTCTTACATATGAAACATCTACCTCAATTAATCTACCTGGAATACCTTCTTAGTAGTCAATAAAAAGGAATGAGTTTTGTGCAACGGCCCCGGGCAAGCACATGCCTTGCTGGAAGGTGACCCGACACACCTGTCACGTGGGGTCCACCCTAACCTGTACCCCTCCCCCACCCACCCACC